GCAAGTAAAAAAAAACAAATATTTCAATACAGACAGGTCTTAAAGAAAAACCAAAAGATTTATTTCCTACACTTCCATACTTTACCATTTCTTGAGGTCAAACCGCGACATGGCAACAATTATATTTGTTCAATTGCAAATAATTGTGCATTCTGACTCTTTCCATCATATTTATGATCATACACCCTGAAATGAGTGAGAAGGGGACAAATTTTAACCTTACAAAAGTGAAGTGTAGGCCGTCCAAGCTCCTTGTAGACTTTAACGTTGCTGATGTGGCAGTTTCGCCAGAGTGAAGTAAAACGACATTCATTTACACGAGAATTCAGCTTATTATCAAACAGCAGCAGCCATGTATACACAAATATGAAACGTATCTCAATTTTCAGTGTTCCAGCCGTGCCGTCCTTTTAGGCCATAAATAGCCTCCCGTGGTTGCCTTCGAAGACTAGCTAGGTTGGAAGCATGTCATCATCTAATCGACATTCCACCACCAGTTGGCGTCAAGAGTATTATTAAATATTTTGCGGGACTATAAGGCATATGGTACTGCAGACCTCACGATGCTTGAATAGCATCTGATCATTAAGGATCGACAGGTCGCTGCGGAGTCGTCATTACAGAAGCTTGCTCAAGGCGGTGGTTCAGAGCTGCTTGTTTTCGCCAAGATTCTACAGCTACAGAGTCCATGGCATCGTTTGCTCGTTAAACCGCGCGAAGTGTCTGAGAAGTCTTGATGCGACACGTGATGCCATAAGCAAAGTTGCCCTTATGTGTATTCTACCACTTTTCATATGCATCATAAGTCATATTTCTAGGCCTACTGACATGCGACTTCGAGACGCAATGACGATCGCCGCGAGGGACTCTGGAACAAGCTGCCTTCACCCATCTTTTACATGACAGACACTCGCGAAATCCGTCGCCAATTTCATCAGCTAAGATCCAGGTATGGGAATTTTTCTGCCAGAGCGTAGAACTGTAGCGAAGACCAATAATCCAATATCCAGAGCACATTCTACGTCAAACAACAGCGCTTGAATTTGCTCAATATGACATGATCTTGCTCCGGTTTGACTCTGTTAACTTTGCTTCGTGGTTTGTACCGGTTTCACTGGTGGTGTGTTTGCTGCTGGTCATTTTCACAGCCCTAAGTGCAGTGCAATTCTGATTTGTGATTCGCAGACAAGCAGTAGACTTTCATTCATTCATTTAGTTCATAAGCGAACGGTCTTTAGCTTGTGAGGTTCGACGCACCGGCAGCTTCTCAACAGCTTTGTTCGAAACGCATCGGTTCCTGTATCGCAGAGGAACCAGTGCTTCGCCGAAAGCAGACATGATTGTACCTTGTTTATCAACAAGGTG